ACCATAGACATGCACTGAAACAGAGCTGTGAACCGAGAACAAACCATCAGAACACAGTTACAACCTCTCGCACGGTTCATCCGCTCCCTAGTTTATGTATGGAAAATAGTTTATAAATGGATAATAATATCAGAGGGGAATGACACTCTTTTGATTTTACTAAGCTGAATCACAGCAGCAGTTTTTGTGTCGTGCCATTTTTATTATACAGATGTTTACGGAAACCTCAAAATCAGGATGGTCAGATCTCCAGGGCACATGTACATATAAAAACATTCAGCACACTCTTGTTCCATAGACTTAGAACTGAAACCCAGATGTAACGATCAAGATCAATCCAAGTTCCACGTTTAGGGACAATTGTAACAGGAAGAGTTTGAGTTGCTTTAATTTCTTTGATTAAAAAAAAAAACAAAAAAAACAACAACAAAAAAAATCTAGTTTTTATTTTCGGAGTTTTATTAAAAAACAACAACAACATTATTCCACATTCTGTCCAATGTTATCTTGTAAATGATGTGCAAATGAAAGGCTATGGAAGCAAATATGTGACCCTGGAGCACAAAACAAGTCATAAGGGTACATTTTTTGAAATTGAGATTTATACATCATCTGAAAGCTGAATAAATAATCTTTCCATTGATGTATGGTTTGTTAGGATAGGACAATATTTGGATTATATTGATATTTGGAGATACAACTATTTGAAAATCTGGAATCTAAGGGTGCAAATACTGAGAAAATCATCTTTAAAGTTGTCCAAATGAAGTTCTTAGCAATGCATATTACTAATCAAAAATTAAGTTTTAATATATTAACAGCAGGAAATTTACAAAATATCTTCATGGAACATGATCTTTACTTAATATCCTAATGATTTTTGTCATAAAAGAAAAATGGATAATTTTGACACATACAATGTATTGTTGGCTATTGCTACAAATATACCCCAGCGACTTAAGACTGCTTTTGTTCTCCAGGGTCACATATAGCAAATGCATATGTGCAAAAACAGGTTTAACATATAACTATTAAATTCTACAACAAAAACAAAACAACTGACAATGAAAAATTTTAAAGCAGAAGTTAAAACACCAAATTCAAAAAAAGATAATAAAGAAAAACAAAAGCAGTTAAATAAAGGCTGTATTATAAACTCTGTACATTTTGCAATAAATAAATAACCTTTTCTGAACCATTCCCCTAATCCCTACTTCTGACATTTATGACTGAATGAGCTGCACACCATCTTCATGCAGTTGCTTATTATTAGTGGCCTGTGTTAACGAAACTGCTTCAGTGAGAAATCATTCGTATCTATGATTTGTTTCTCATCTGGCTGTTTTGGAGTTTGCGGATGGATGTATGCGTCTTGTTTTTTCAGGCACGGCTGCTACATGAACCACAACCACAGTGTTAATATATCAGTGATCAGAATGTTCCACTAATTTCCTGATCGGTGCTGCAATCATCTGTGAAGTGTATGAAATGTGTGTCTGCTGACTGAAACGTTTGGATCAGACGCAAGCCAGCCAGCAGCTTGTCACTGGCTCCTGTCATGACCACGAGCACCCGTCACACTACCGGACTCATTTTAAACAGAACGCAAGATGATTTGTAGCATTTAAAAGCATTAATTCAGTGCATTCAGCTGAGCTGCTGCTGAGAGACCAAATACCTCCAGATCCCCATGTTAATGAGACTAACATCTGCCAACAAACGCTGAAACCGGCTAGTAAAAGCCACAGACTTAATAGACTATACCTTTACAAACTGTCAGGCTGTTCAAGTCACCATGAAATCAATCTGGACCGTTATTCTTTTTCTAGAATGTTGGATTGTTTACTATAAATGATTTATCTGCACACATCGTTATATATAAATATATATATATATATAAAAAAAAAAGAGT